CAACTTCTACACAGGTATAAATAATACGCCAGGTTGCATAAGTCTATCGTTAAATTATTATATTTGCGAGTGATCATTCTTCCCTCACGCGAGTCATTACTTATTAGCTCATCCAATCTTTCAATTATATTACATCTACAATGCCTATTCACTATAACAGATATCAGGTGCATCAAGAAAATATTAGACTGTTTCATCACTGGAAGTAATCTTGCTACGATTTACAAGATTTCAATTATACCAACGGTCAGTTCTCAAGTCGACGTCATCGAAAACCTTATATAGATGTACAAGAAAAAAAATTATGATTTGATTGTTTTGTTTTTCGATTATTTAGTTAATAATCTTGAGTTTTTAGGTTTATATATTTTTTTTAATAATGTCTTCTTTCTAGCTCTTTGAAATTAAAACCGAAGTATATTTAAAATTTTAACACTGTATTGATAGATGCCGTGGTGAAGGTAGCGGCAAGAAAAATGTTAGTGCAAGAAACATGATAATCAAATATTACTACTTTACTTGGAAATAAATTATTAATCTTGTTTATTTGTTGTTATGTCCAAAGCTACACAACGAGCTGTATCTGTGCTTTGCCCACTGCAGGAATAAGAAAACGAAATTTAGCGTTATAACTCCCCTCCCCCTTCAGACTTTCCAGAGAGGGGTGGATGGATTATTTTTCAGACTAATTTTGTGTGTGTGTGGCACCATCTAGTGAAAAACATATACAATTAATCAGATTGACATGGTTAACTTCACAAAGATAATTTTTAACGCAGCCCTCAAACAGATTACAACGTCGTTGAAAACTAGTATCTAATTCGCAAACTATTTTCAAGTTCTAGATGATAAAATACGTCTTAAAAAGGAGTTAAGAGTTTTCAGAAAAACCTTTTTTTGAAGGTTCCCACTGTTTAAGCAAATCGTCTAGAAACTAGAGTGTTTTCAACATGGACCCAGCCAGGTTTAAAATGTTTAACAATTATCTTTTGCTATATTAACTTTTATGTAATCTTGATTTAAGACCGGTATTTTTAGAAGCACTGTGGATTTTTTAAATGTTCTCTTATGAACAGCAATGGATATTTGGAATGTTGCGCTAAGAAAGAGTTCAGTTTGACAGACATCCCCCCCCCCCTCCTCTCTCTCTCTATATATATATATATATACAGCCACACATAAATATTTACTTATGCACCTATATATTTAAAAGTTTTGTTTGTTTGTAATTAAGCACAAAGCTACACAATGGGCTATCTGTGCTCTGCCCACCATGGGTATCGAAACCCGGATTCTAGTGTTGTAAGTCCGCAGACATATCGCTGTGCCACTGGGGGCCACTTAAAAATAATATTCAAAAATCAAAAGTATGGTTATTAATCAAAGGCAATAAATAAATTTCTACAGATCAATTCCAAGTATTCTTGAAACACGCACGAAGAAAGGCTTCATTCGCTATCTCGGTCTTAGTTGACAAGATAATTTTTATCACCGTAGTTCAGAAAAAATTAATGCAATTTTTCTTAAACACTTTTTGTAAAACAATATTTATATAAATTCCTATTGAATTTGATTTTGAAGTTAAAACAAAATTTCAATAACTTATTCACAATAAAAATGAAGAAAACTTCTCTTCCCATCCAGACGCAGCGATGAAAATGTTGTTCAAAATGGCACAATTTTATTTACCTTTCGATTACAACAGTGTTTCTAGAATTTTGTACAACAGTAAAAATAAAATTATATGCAAACATGGAACACGATCCTCTGGATTCTTCCTGAAATTTGTTTCGTCTTCCTTTCATTTGTGTGTTTAGATATTTTACACGTGGGCAACAATGCATCGAAACAAAAACATTTAGTAATAGTATAAAAAAATAGTGTTTAATTCTATCCTTACTCTCATTGTGTTCAGAAGAAAAACAAATTCACAAATTTGACATCTACTAAGCATGTTTGTATCTAGAGGCCATCGAAACACTTAAAAATATATGGTTCCACGCTTATAGATTTATAGATAAACATCTCTTCTAGTGTCACATTTATAGATAAGCAAATCTGGTGCCCCATTTATAGACACTTCTCCTAGTGCCTCTTTTACAGATAACTCTCATAGTGCCAGGTCTGTTGATAACTCTCTTAGTGCCCGGTTTATAGGTAAACAACTCACCTAGTACCACACTTATTGACAAATAACTCTCCTATTGCCACATGTATCGATTAACAACTCTCCTAGTGCCAGGTTTATAGATCACTCTCCCAGTACCACACTTATTGAGAAAAAAACTCTCCTAATGTCACTTATAAACAAATAACTCTCTAGTGCCACATCTACAGATGACTCTTCTAATGCCACATTTACAGACAACTCTCTTTGTGCCATATTTATATATAAAGAACTCTCCTGATGCCATATTTATAGATAACTCTCATAGTGTCAGGTTTATAAATAACTTTCCTAGTGCCACCTTTATAAAGAACTCTCCTAGTGCCATGTGTATAGACCAGCAACTCTACTAATGCCAGATTTATAGATAACTATAGTGCCAGATTTATAGATAAAGAATTCTGCTAGTGCCACGTTTATCTATAGCTGTTATAAGCAAAGCACAATGAGAGCTTAAACTAATGTTCAATACATTAAAGCATTTTTATAATTATCCTAAACAATTTCCTAGGAAACTAGTGTATATATGAATGTCTTGATAAAGGTTGTAAAGCTTTTAAACCTATAATTATTAGCAAAAATACTGTTGAATTTCTCACAAAATCAAATTAATTTTATGTTTTAACATGTGACAGGAGAAACCTCATTTGTGAAAATAAAAGTGAGTTTATGACCTATGTCCATGATATTTGTACTGTTGAACAAACTGTTAGGTATCAATTAAGTTGTGAGAAGAAAACATTGTAAATTAACTTCCTTGGAATATTTGTGTTTGGAAATGGAAAAGTTTATAAATTTCAAAGTTGAAAGTGTCCACCACATTGAAAACTTTGAAACTGAATGTTTGATTAGAAATGCTGATATCTATGTAGTGCCCTTTGTTTTTAGTGAACTGGCTTTTTCCAGAGTGATTCCTATATTAAATTTAGTTAAAAAGATTAATATATTAATTAGAATGTTATTAAATATAATAAAAAGAAAAATCACTTAACTAAAAAGGTCATGTGCAACTAATTCATGTTAACCACATCTCTATGATCAAACAAGTTCAACACTTTTCTCACTGATTTTTAATGTTAACCACATCTCTATAATAAAACAAGTTCAACACTTTTCTTACTGATTTTTACTGTTAACCACATCTCTGTATTTAAAGAAATACAGCACTTTTCTTACTCTTTATCACACTAAATTTGTGTTTATTTTTCTCCCCTTTATTTTATATTTCTGATAAACTACAATACCACAACACCCGATTTTTTGATACTGACAAATACTTACCTCGGTTAATTCAGAATTTATCTTGGTGAGAAATATGAGTTAATCACTGTGACCTCTTTAGATTGTGTTCAGACTGTACGTCTCCACCAAAGACCAAACTAAATAGTTTCTGGCATAAAGCATCACATTAGGCAGAATTAACACCCTGTATCACAGAATTCTGTGTTAAATATTTTCTATAATACAGTCAGCTTTCAAATGTTGCCAGAATAATATTATTTGGAAATGGATACTAAGATAGCAATGAGACTCTGAATGTTATGTCAGGATCTTTATATTCTCAATGTTTCGACTACAAGTCTTATTCAGGAGATTATGACACCATGGTGCCTTACAAGGTGTCATAAACTCCTGAAGAAGACTTGTAGTCGAAACAGAAACGTTGATAATAAAAAGATTCTGACATAACATTCATAGTCTTATTGCTATCTCAGTATCCATTTGTCAACATGAATAATACTAATTAATTGGAAACATTACACAGGTTCATATTTGAAATATTTAACATATATATTTAAAAATTTGTAGCTGTTAAGGTCCTTTCTATTAACTCATTTGATATTGCATGTCCAAAAGTCATACAAAGGTTGAACACCTACTTTTTAAAAAAGTGTAGTTTTTCTTTCCACACATCTAAGAACTTGAAATTACACAATTCCTATTAGATTATTCTTTTTTTATATATATTTTAAAACTAAGTTTAATATCAAATAAATTCTTGTATGAAACTTACATGAGACAGTATGTAAAAAACTGTATCTCTGACATTACCAATAAATTTCAACCTAAAAGACTACAATTAGAAATAAATATTTAAAAGTGGTTAACTGTAACAACAAAATTAGTCTGAATTGCCTTTAAAATATACATAATTTTTCATAACTAAAGAAGAAAAAAACATAAAATTACGAGTTTCTAAAAAATCCTTTCATTGTCCATTATAGTCAATCTTGTTATTATTATATTTACAAAATAAAAATAACCAAAATAACTGAATTTTTTGAGAAAAAAGCTTATATCTTATTCTTCATTCATGTGTTTCTTGACTGAATGATATGTACAAATTATAATACATAGTATTATTACAGTGAACAATATATTAATATCATTAAAATAATAAATAATCAGTGGTGTTTTTGTTAAGAATATGCATGTTCTATACAATTACATAGATACTGAATGATCTAAGGTTTACTAATTGACTACTTAGAATACCAGTTATGATATGAACAAGGAATGAAAAAATATTTTAAAGAAGCAATTATTAATGCTTTACCCTACAAAATAATTATCAAGCATTAACTGGTAGAAATGACTGTACACTATTATTAACTATACCTCAGGTTTCAGGCCCAGAATAGTTGATAGGGACCTGAAGTGGAACATGAAGAGAAAATGTTATCAACATTACTCAACTGATGGGACAGGGATATGTCAGTGTATCTATCTAGTAGAATTGCTAATTAATGTCTAACCAGTGACACTACAAAATCAAATGATTCATCCTCAACAATTGTTCAAGTAACATAACAGACTTAAAACACCAGAGCAATTAAAACTTAAAAGCAATGTTCTATTCTTTATATTAATACATACATACATTTTTACATGTAAATCATACAAGGCCATATAAAAGTTTTGGTACTTTTGAGAAAATACACTGAGAAATTGGTTCTGGCAAATGTCTCCAATGCACAACTTTTATAACATGAAACACTTTTCATAACATAATACTAGTATAATCATGAAAATGTTCAGTTATAAACTTTCATCATTTGTTCAAACACTTTTTTCTCACTAAGGAAAGGGACTAAGGTACGATTTAAACCTTTGTAAGTAAAGTTTCTCTAAAGCTACATTTCCAACAAAGAAAAGAAGATACTGTGTTAGCTGAGAATGAAATAACTGAAGTTCTATTACTAGTGGAATTTTATAACAGTAAGTTTTTAAAATGACTAGACAAAATCAATACTTTTATAAGCAGTAGACTTTTATCTACTTTTTAAACCAAAATGTTACTCATATAATCACTAAACAACTGAGAAGTTCCTACATGTTTTAAAATGCATTAAATAAACAGACTTCATTTTTTGTTATCATACGTACCTTTTATAATCTATAAAAAAACTATACACACAAACTTGATTTTGGTTCTGAAATAAACCAAATTTCACAATGGTACAAACAAAATACTTGTATGGTACAACAAGGAGTTCTTACATAATTCATTAAACAGCTTTTTTCAACTGACCATGAATTGGTTTATCATCACTGACAAGAAAGCTCAGTCCTCCATCCGTTTCACGTAAAGTGTTTTGTGTTACATTGTCAATATTAGGGAAATACACAGTTCCAGTTTCTTGTAGTGAAACATGTCTTTTTGGAGCTTCTTTGTTACTCTTTAGTATACTAGAGGAGGTGCTACCAGCCCGAAATCTAATACCGTACACATCACCATGTGCACTGTGTTTTTCAACTCCATCTTTTTCCAGTAGAACTTCATTCATCCCAAGGCTGTTAAGGCTCACAGTACTGTTGGAAAACAGAAGTCCTGAATCTAATGATTCCTGCACCAGCTTCACCTGAGCTGATATGTCTGCCATGCTTGATGACGTACTTGGCGCAGGAGATTGTGGCATACTCTTAGCACGAGAAAGAGCACTAGGAAGGTCCTGGATACTGTAGTAATCATACATAATATCAGCATCTGTTCCTTCTCACAGTCAGTAAGTTACAAAAAAAACACTATCAACATGAATTAAAAAATTAATTGTTAAAACATTTTAATTATTATCTGAATGCATCAATCTGACCATTGAAATTGAAAGCATTAGGTAAGAATACAAAAAAAAACAAAAAACACCTGTGGTAAGAAAAATACTCTCAATTTTCTTTTCCTTTCACTTCTTAGGTTTCCTCCAAATAACATCAAATGTTCAGATGTTAAACAAAAATTAAAACTACTGGAAAATAAATAGAATAATTAATAATACAACCACTTCACCTAATTTGAGACATGAGTTATGACTAAATCTAGTGGACTGGTGTAACAAACAAAGGTGAATGTAAAGTTTGTTTAAATATAGTTGTTCCATCTTCGAAACTGTCACCTGACAGTTTTGTTGGTAACAATTGACTGGTAACAATGTTAAATGTACCAATCTTTTGACTAGTTGTTACATGTTATTTTGTAAAATTAGTTATACCAGGCCATTTTCTGCTTGGTTAGATAAACAGTTTAGCATTTGAAAAGTAACAGCTGCAAAATTTAATCACTAAAATTAAAAGCATAGTTTTAAAATATAATTCCATCAGAACTTAAATCAAGCAGGAATAATTTGAAACAAATTAACCATCTAATTTATGTTCTTATACTTCCATTAAGTTTGCCTATTTGGATTTTCTCAAACAAATACAAATGTTTTGTACACCTATTACAGTTAAAATGGAAGATAGCCTCAAAGTAATCCATCAACAAGGTCTTTTTTTTTTCTATACCAAAATAATTTTTACATGAATACCATGAGGAAAACAGTGGAACTAACAAAATAAGGTAAAAACATTTATCTTCTTTATCCATAGTATTTTATTAAAAGTGTAATGCTAATTCTGCTGCTACAAGTATGTCGTGTTAATCTAAAGAGCTTAAGATGTAAGTGCAGCTCAGCATTTATCATGCAGTTGCTCCTCTGCCCCTCATAAATAACCCAGATTAAGATGGCATTCTTGGAAAATTGTGTATTTTGCACATGCTTGCATACACTCAGTCAATTATAAATGCTAAGTAACAGAGCACTGTGTTGTGAGTTGACTGCATTCTCAAGCCTTCTGACAGTACATAACTACTTAACCTAACAATGTTTCTCTAGACTAGGTAAGATTATAAAAATATTTTTACATCAATAAATCATCAATACATACAACTTGTCTGGTTGCAGGTGTTTTAGAAACATTATGTTTAGCATGGTAAATACACAGACCTTACAAGAAATTTAGTATGGAAAGAATTTTCAAAGGTGAGTCAAGAACAAAACTTTCATTCTCTACTGCTATATGTTGAACTTTAAATATGTCATCTGTTACAACACAAAACTACAAAGAAAATGTAAAAAAAGAGTAATGACAGGATTTACTCAAAGTAAAAAGTTACTCAAAAACATTTCTTTTAAAAGGTGGTATTTCAAATAGGTTACTCAAAACAATTAAAGTATAATTGGAATTTATCATATACAGTATGGTTATCAACAACCAGAGTAGCCCTGAGCTATGTCTGACCACTCCTCTGAAAGAGCCCTTCTCAGGTATTTTTATTGTGGAGATTAACTTGACAGGATGTGACGATGTATCTCATGCACACTTGATGGCATTCAAGCCCAGTGAGTGTGAATATGACTCCTCAGTCAAACTCTTCTTTACTTAAGATGTGTCAATCAGTTTAGCACATTAAGGGTAGATGTTATCACTTATTAAGCTGAAACCAAGACCAATAAATCATTACACCAGCATATAGCAGCACAATAGGTTGTGAGATGTGGTCCCCATAATCTGTGATAATGTTGTTACCATTCTGAAGGATCTATAAGTCTGTATATTCAACAATACTTATTCCTATTCACATCATAATTCCCCACCACCATATGCATCATTTTCTTATATGAAAATGGGGTTGATATGGTTCCAAGTTCCCTCTAGATGGGACTAAACCTGTTACCTGAAGCACAACTCATCTGTAAAAAGAATATTATTCCACATACTGTTGTTCCACTGAATGTGTTCTTGGCACAAATGCAGGTGAGTTGTGTTGTACATTGCTTGATATGAATGCATATCATTGAGCAACTATCATATAAGCCAGCCTTGCAATGTCTATTTCTAACCACCTATACATTGACATGTTTTATTGCAGCTGTGAGCTTCTGGTTCAATCTCAGGACCTGTACCTTACAAATGCGGCAAACCAAAACCAATGGATATTGGTTGTCAACTTGTGTTGTAGATGATGGTCTACTTTGCACAGGTGTCCAAACAATCAATTGGAAACAATTTCATGTTCAGCGAACAACACTCCGATACACTTCGAGCTACTATGATTAGCTGGTTTCCACTTTTACAACAGCTCTTCACAGGAATAAAAACATTTATTCTGCATTTTCTGAAGTATTGTCATAGTTTAAGAACAACTTACTTTGGACTATTTGATTCACTTCAGAGTGACAACTTAGAGAAGACTATATATGACTATGAAGTATATTAGTATACGGTGGATAATCAATTGTTTACATTCTAATAGTATAAGTGCCTAATTTTAATCATTAAATGATAGGGTGATTGACATTATTTTACTAAAGTGGTTTTTAGTTTGTTAATGCTATAATATTACAAATGTTTAATTATCCTTCTATTGTTTTGAGCAGTGTAGCTGCAATGGTCAAAAATAATTTCCTTAAATAAAATTTTATAAAAGTACTTTCTTTGTGGTATTTTTTATTCACATATCAATCTGACTAGTCAGTTAATAAAAGCATAAATATTATGAAGTGGATATAACTAAACATGAAGCAAGGTATAGAATCAGATAAAAATTGCTTGCCTATGGTGACGACTAGAAGGTAAACTGCTATACTGTCGAGGTGGTGGAATTTTTTCTTTCTGGGACTGTCGGTGCTGATCAATCATATCACAGGCTTTACCAAGCAATGCAAGGTTATTTAAAATCTTCAGGCAAAGCAAGCTGTAAACATATATAATACAAAATTAACAGAACATAAACATACACTACATCTATAAAAGTTGTTATATGTAGCTCTGATATGAAAATGTCACATTTTTCATATTTTAGTTTTGTAAAAGTATTCTCAGGAACAAACAGACTGCCTTCTTTTTATTAACTAAACATCTGTTATTAAATATTATTATCTGTTTATAATTGCTGAGTGTCGTGCTTATCAAAGCAAGTTTCTTTCCAATACAAAACATGACCTCAACATATAAACAGTAATAATAGTGAAGAAGAGCATGGAAGTTCCCAAATTATCCTAAGGAAAGAATCAATTAGTTATTTAATCAAACAAATTGTCAAATGAAGCAGATTTTTAAAAATATATTTTTCCTTATCTAGCTTATCAAATATCATCATGTATCTGTTTTATTGCTTCAAACTAACCAGTAACAAAATTAAACAGCATTTATTAATAAATGAACAATTAGTGCAATTTTTTCATTCTTTCCCATCAGACTTGTAACACGAGCAAGAACTTATACAAGAATAAACCACATTTATTTCCTTTTTTTCATTTTGTAAGCAAGCTTTCAGTTGCATACTTCAGTCTCAAACGAAAATATTTTGATGTTCCAAAAATATGATGTGTGCAATACATAAAAATAATCACATTACTTAAATTTTTTTAATTAGTTTTGGGAAACTGTTCAAGATTGGGAAATATTTGGGTGCAAGTGATTATTGCTTTATTAGGTTCAATGTTCTGCTGCATATGGAGATAAAAAATAATGATATTTTGGTTACAGATTTCAAAAAAGCAAATTTTCAAGGGATACAACAAAAATTATCTGTTGTGAGTTGGAAAGCTGAATTATTTGGAGACACTTATTAAATGTGAAAAAGTTTTTTAATAAATTTGTAAATGTTCAAGATAAATATATTCCTTATAGAAAGAAAAGGGTAGCTTCAAGTAAAAAAATCAGTTTGGCTCACAAAGGGTATAAGAGATAAAATTAATGAAAAGCATCATACATTTAAGAAATATAAATTGACAGGTATAATGGGAGATTTAGAAGATTATAAAAGTTCAAAAGAGTTGGTCAAACAGGAAATTATAACATCAAAAAGGATGTATCAAAAAAGGTTGGCTGAAAATGTACAAATAAACAGTAAGGATTTCTTTAAATACGTTAAGGATAAATAAAATGTTAGGATGGGAGTAGGGCCTTTGAGGGATGATAAAGGAAGGTTTATATCTGATGATTATGAGATAGCTGGGTTAATAAGTTCTGCTTTTTCTTCAGTTTTTACTAATGAAGATGTAAGCAATATTTCTCATCCTGAACAATTGATAGATGGAAACACGATCAAACAAGATTATCACATTAATTTTGAGCTTGTTATAAAAAAATTGGGCAGCTTAAAGAATGATAAAGCTCCTAGGCCAGATATTTCCCCCAAGTGTTTTGAAGGAGGTTAGGGATTGGATATATGAACCTTGAATAATGGGTAGGTTCCAGAGGATTAGACCTTGAATAGTGTTAATCCTCTTTTCATGGGAGGTGATAAAAATTGTCACAGTAATTATAGACCCATTAGTCTTACATCAGTTGTGGCAAAAGTTTTGGAAAGTATGATAAAAGATGCAAGGTCATTTAACAAAGTTTAGAATTTTATTGAATAGTCAACATGGTTTCACTATGGGAAAATCTTGCCTTACAAATCTTTGGACATTCTTTAAAAACGTTACTGCTTATGTAGATGATGGTAATGGTGTAGATTTGGTGTATCTGGATTTTCAGAAAGCACTTGATAAGGTGCCACATAAAAGGCTTGTAATGAAAATTATTTCTGTAGGTGTGGGGCATAAGTTACCTAATTGGATAGAAGAGTGGCTGGATGGAAGAAAACAGAGGGTTGTTACAAATGGAGTTAAGTCAAACTGGATTAATGTCACAAGTGGGATAACTCAGGGCTCAGTCTTAGAACCTTTGTTCTTTTTGATTTACATCAATGACATAGATGGAAGAATAGTCAATAAATTACTTAAATCTGCAGATGATATTAAGGTCTTAGGTGTTGCTAGCTGTGAAAGGATGCTGCTGATTTACAAAAGGATTTAGATCATTTAGTGAGTTGGACAAATAAATGGCAAATGGGTTTTAATTATAATAAATGCAAGATAATGCATGTGGGTTATCATAATTAGAATTATAAGTATAATTTGGATGGGAATATCCTTAACAATGTTATAGAAGAAAAAGATATTGGTGTAATAGTTGATCAGTCTCTTAAGCCATCCAAGTAATGTGATGTTGCTAGTAGTAGGGCAAATAGAATTTTAGGTTGTACCTACAGAAATATTGAATAAAAGTATAAAGAGGTTAAAATTTCATTGTATAGGTTACTGGTTAGACCACATTTGGAGTATTGCATTCAGTCTTGGGGTCCTTACCTTAGGAGTGACATTGAATTGTTGAAAAAGGTTCAGAGGAGGGCTACTAGGATGATACCTTGAATGGAAAGATTGTCATATGAGGAGAGGTTAAGATCTCTGAAATTGTTTTCTCTTGAAAAAAAAAAAGAGATGGAGGGGGTCTGATTGAGGTGTTTAAGATTGTTAAGGGAACCGATAGTGTTGATGCATCATCTTTTTTCATACTTAATGGTAAGAATGGTAGGACTAGGGGTCACAAATATAAATTTTGGCAGGGTAGGAGTCATCTTCAGCCAAGACAGTTTTATTTTTCTAACAGAGTAGTTGGTCTTTGGAATGGTTTACCTTGAGATGTGGTGGAGCCAGTAAATTAAGGCATTTCAAGGGAAGGCTTGATAAATATAGGGATAATAAGGGCTGGCTTTGAGGTTTTAAGTTTCATTTAGTGGATAGGACAGCCTAGATGGACCAATAGTTCCCTTGTTATCCCTAAATATTATGTTATGTTAATCTGCAGTAACTTTCACCTGACAAGATTTTCACTGACATTCCATGACTACAAATAAAATTCATAAAACTTTTCCACGTCTGGAAAATATATCTTATTTTTCACTGACTTTCCTGAAATTCCATGACCTATACAAACCCTGTAGTGATTTTGAATTTTATATCACTTTTTAAAAAAATCTCAATTTACAAGGAACTGAATATAAAGATACAACCTGAGACACAGTCCACGGAAAGAGATTAAAGTTTTCAATGGACTATTCTAGTCCATATTTATACTTTCCTCATGCACATGCAACCTAAATTCTTTATTAAGAAACACTTCATAAAAAGAAGCTATGCATATCAGTTATGCTTGTAAATATATTGATTACATCCTTTTTCCAAATCATCAAGGTTCTTTTTTGACAATACCAGAGATATATATTTATCCACCATAATCCACTCTCTAAAAAAAACTTGCTGTCCCTCTGCCATCATACTTTTTCACACTGCTCTTTTCATTATTAAGGACCTCCTTTGGATTCTCCTTGAAAATACTCAGTCAGTATGCTCACATTTTTTTTCACTTTGGATGTTTATTTGTATTGTCACCTTTGTCAGAAACAAATATTGGATTTCTTACATTTTGTTTGGTAATGGGTATCCCGTCACGATCACATCCACAGCTGCTACACTGACAATATTCCAAGCATTCATCCATTTTGACTCTCCAGACCTTCCCTTGCATATATTTTTTAAAATTCAAACAGTAATCCTGCCTACACTGTTCAAGTCATCATAAAATAAGCTGTATTCTGACTAATTTGCTGGAAATACAACAAAATTCCAGGTTTATATCGCAAAGAATGGTTAAGTCAAAAATTCTTTGTGAAAAAATAAATCAAATCTTGTCTCTATTTACATTTTTATTTCTTCACTGCACTTAACATTAATTTTATATTCACTTCAATTATGAATATAACTATGAAATGAATTTTTAATGTAAAGCTTCTGGAGCAAATTTAGTAATAAAGGCATATATCTAATACAAGCATGTTATGGGTTTGTTTATTGTTTGTTTGTTTTGAATTTCGTGCAAAGCTACATGAGGGCTATCTGCACTAGCCGTCCCTAATTTAGCAGTGTAAGACTAGAGGGAAGGCAGCTAGTCATCACCCCCCACCGCCAACTCTTGGGCTACTCTTTTACCAATGTATAATGTGATTGACCATCACATTATAATGCCCCCATGTTTGGTGTGATGGGATTTGAACCCGCGACCCTCAGATTGAGAGTCGAGTGCCTTAACCACCTGGCCATGCCGGGCCCATGTTATGGGAGCAGAGCTTAATGTACAGCATTTATTCCATTTTAGGAATTGGTGAAATGTTGTGAGTGCACTGAAGAAGATTAATAGATTAATACAAGCATATGAAAAAATAAACTATATTATATTTATTTCTATAAGATAGTGTTGAATTTCTATTGGTTTCCTACCAGAAATGTCAGAAACAGTAGGGTTCTGGGCAAACAAAACTCAAGTGGAAACCCATATATATTTAACACTTTTTTAACTAAAAGTTAAAATTACAATATTATGTATAAACAGTTTGAAATTCTGAGTTAATTACAATAATATTTCTTTACATCAGTTTTTTTTTTATCAATTTTCAAAGTTTGCAGGGAACACTGAAGGATTGAAACCATATATGCAAATTAGAAATAATACAAATCTAAGGTACAATATCAATCTTAAGCACAACATTTTGGCATACATCTCTTCCAAAGATTCACATTTTCATGGAATATAAGAATAAACAACTTATAGTTACTTATATAACAGAGCATGTTTGTGGCATGTAAATACTTGAAAATGGCATGTGCTACAATGTTGGGATTAAATAAAATACTGCATACCATAGAGCTATAAAAATCTTCATGTGTAGATATGTATAGAATAGGATATTTCAGTATACATACCAACAGAAACCTAAAGCAACACAAAACTTTCCCAAGAATCCTGCAGCTCGTACAGAACCATACACAACCCGAAATACCAGAGCACCAAGAGGTAAAGGAATAAACCCCATCCTTCTAGAAATTATGTCAGAATGGTCTGAATAAGCCTAAAAAGAAGACAATATAAAAAGATGTATTTAAATCACTAATGAAGTTTTCAAGCATCATCAGAAATTCAAAAGTGATTGCTAATCTTATTAAAACTAGCTGAATTCTCCATGTTCTAATGAGCTGAAAAAACAAACAAAACAGTATAGTTTGTCTTTACACTTGTATTCTAGATTATAGACAATTTCACACAAGCTAGGTTTTTTAATATTAAATTAAGCTTAAAAACAATTTGAAAAGAACCCACAAACAAATGAAATTATCAGTTAAAAAAGAGGTAAAATTGGAGGGGGGAGCTTATGGCTTTTCACAAAGAAGGGCAAGAAGCAGCACTACCTTAAGGGGGTCTTGGGAATTGTATCCTACCCAAAAATTGTTTAAAGCATTTACAAAAACTAAAATCACTGTTCCCACAGAACTAATTTTTGTATCAAATGATACAAATACAAAATTTGTTACACAACTTAAGCCTAATGTGCCATTTTTACACCTTATATACATATATATGCAGGCATATAGACTTAACCTAATGAGTAAAGTATGTATTAGCTTTTTAACATTGTCTATTCAACACATTTAAGTTATTGTTGTTTTCTGATTGCAAAGCTATACAATTGGCTATCTGTGGAATACATCTTTGTAGTAATAGGCCACAAACTGCATACCCTATGATTCACAATCCAAGAAAATTAAACATTATGCATACTGATCATCCTCAAACTCAGACGGACATAAGTTCAAATAACTTAAACTACGGGAATGATTGAGTGATTATGTAATATCAAAAGTGGACAAGTTGACATTGTTTGAGCACAAAGCTACACAATGCTCTATGCCTAGCATGGGGAATCGAACCCCAGATTTTTGCAAGTCAGTAAACTTATCACTGACCCACCAGGGGACATGTAAGAGAAAGAGTAAAAGATCACACATTTTTTGACAATAACTATTCCTTAGTTTATAAAACTCAAAATATCAAAATGGTTAGACATGATTTGTGAGCAAGGATTGATTGTCAAGTTTGAAAATGGTGAACGAAACACACTCTTACGAAAAAAAACAACCAAAGATATTAACTTTCAGAAATGAAGTACATTTCAATAACAATAGTCTTAAAATGAACAGGCTATAAAACAATGTTAACATATCCAAACATCTGTTAAATGATACAAGTACTTAGTTTACTGTAATGCTTGAACTTTCTTTTACTAATGCACTGAAGGCTTCTTAACCCTTTATAGACTCAAGAGATGTCACTGATATCTCACAATTTTTACCTTCTCAAAGTGGAATTACTTAACTGTATTACATGAAGGTTTAAACAAATTTATTACAAGTATCTAGTTTGGCTTTAAAAATTTCATATAATTCAATTTAATTTTTCTGTAATTTTTATATGGTAAAATTTTTAAAATGTTGTTCCAAGACCAATTTCTGAAAAAGAAGTTCACACACACAATTTTGTCTGAGAATTTCAATTCTCTTTATTGTTGATCAGAAAGTTATTTCATACATCCAATCAATTTCAACTTGACTGATTTTCATTAACATATTTCTTATGATACTTTATTTTGCCAATTGCAGTAGTCACACTTTCAGCTATAAGTTGTACAAAACACTATATAAACTGACAAAAGATTTATAGGATCTGACCATTAAAAATGTTCAAGATCAATATAGCTTATTTTCAATAAATAAGTTCTTTTATTTATGTGTATATTTTTTCATGTGATAAACTTACAATAATATTTAATAAATATGGATACGACTCACTGGAATATTTTGACATCACCTATTGCACCTGCTAACCTAACTAAGCTTACCTATAAAAAATATTTCCATATATATATATATATATGTAATTTTTTCACATATCTTCTAAACCTCCCATTACATAGGTCTTGACATTTTCCTTTGAAACCACAAATTACTCCTCACTCCACTTTATTCACTCTACATGGATATAAATGGTTTATAACCTGCTCTAACCAATGGTATTTAAACTTTGTAGCTATTTTCAAAGCTGAACTTCATTAGTAATTGTTCAGATCAAATCCTGTTAGACCCTATAGTATGGGAGCAAGAAGCTGTATTAATAAAATTAATGAAAGTGGAGAAACAAAGCATGTAGAATATATTCTCAGAGAATGATAGTTTTTTTAAAAATACAAACATGTACCTTGGGATGGTAAAAAAAAATTATAAAAATGTCTACAAGTGTTTATAAATGAGACTATGCAATTTTTCTCTGTGAATTACAAAATATCAATTCTAAAATAATTTTATTAAAAAATTATTGAAACAGCATTAGAATTATTATTTCTACTTAAATTTTCAAACTTGATATACATATGTTCACTTGACACATGAAATGCATTCACTTATCATAGTAGGGTTAATATTTCTATTTTCACCACTTTATAAAAAAAAAAAGAAGAAGAGAGAGAGAGAGAGACTAATCACACTCCACAAAAAGCAATTTTATTCAAACTCAACATTTCAGTTTACACCTTTCTCATGCATTACAGCATCACATATGAATATAAACTGATAACCGATAAGAAGAATGCATACAACCAAACATGGTTTCAACCCTCCAGTCTTCTCTACAAAGTTTTAAAATCTGATATACCTTTATAACTTTTCCTTCTGATACAAGTAGTTACATTTTGTTTGGTCCTTGTTTCTCTGCTATATTTTATATTATGAATCCTACAAAACTTCTGGAAAAAGTTTTTCTGAAACATTTACTAAGGCTGTACACACCTCGTAATACGATACCTTTCCTATAACCTTGGCTAATGGAAGCCATATACCCAAGGATGCCAAATTATAGTTTTCTTTTATTACTTTACTTCTTTGCTCTGTAAATTTTGACTCATAAATACATTTCAAACATTTGTTTTCAGTAAAACTATTTTAACTGTTATTTTCTCTACCCTAACTCTATACAAGATTGGTCAATTTGACTGACCTCGAAACTACCAAAAAAAATATATTGAAATAAATCTAAATTACCCTTTTTTTTCTTTCTAGAATGACTTCAAATTGTAACATGAAACTACATTTCTTTATCCTGAGTAACTTTAAACTTGTAACAGTATACATCTATTTATAGTTAAATTTTATTGTTTTATTGCCCTTTGAACTGTGTCTAACTGCTAGTTGAACCATTAAAATTTGTAAATCAGTTGGGAAACATGGGGCTCACATTACGCTATCGAATTACATTACCCACAATCTACTCCAAGCTGTTTGCGTTTGTGACTTCTGAAAATTTTTTATTATATTATTCTTATTATTTAGTTATTTTATCTAATCTAACTTTAACTAACCTAAAGAGATTCCTATTTTTACATTTTAGTTACTTCTATAATAATGAATAAAAAATGCACTTGAAAAACAAGAAATAAAGTACTTACCTGGACCTTCTTTTTTTCCTTCGATGACATTTAAACCTACTTTTTTAAAATTAATGGTATTAGAACATTAAGTAATTTTTCATTTAATTAAATACTGCACCAAAGAACATAGAATAATAAGATGCAAAAAGCCGTTACAAATTCATCGAAGCTAGACGATATGTTACCTGTAGGAATGAAGCTTGTATTAAAAAGAAAAATTGACAATTCTCTGTTTAGAAAACAATGTAACATAACATATAATTTGATAGAAGAAAACCTTGACTTTCTTTTGTTTATAAATAATATAGTATTAAACATAAGAGAGAACTATTAACAAATCCTGAAAGAGAGGATGTGACAGGTGGGTGTGGCAAGAGGGGTCTGATTTTCTATTTGATGGCTCTGTAATCAAACAAGATTGAAGGCTTTGTTGGAGCAATGATAATTTCATAGTGATAATTTCTAACTTATTGGAGAAGTTGTGAATAGCCTAGAGAAAAAAAAAATGTCACATTTCTTACACTAGGGGAAATTCAGGATTTTTTTAAATACTGCATTATAAAATTAAGAACTTAAAACTTATATACTATTAAAATATGGATTGTTAGCTATGATTTTAAGCTATACAAATTGGTATAACAAAAACCAATAATTATTTGAAAACATTTTGAACGTAAGTCACTAAAAATCTTGTAACTTGCTCAGTAAAGGATACCCATGCAGAGAGAATTAATGCTATTCATAATTTCAGAACCAGAAAAAAAAAAAAAAAAAATCTCCCTCCCCCAATTTGAAATTAAAACAGAAGGAAACTTTAAATAGAGCTCAAGATGTTAATAAAATTCTTCAGTTGCTATTTCAGATGTTAAAAGGTATGCTAAAGACACTTAACAAGATCCAATTCTTTTCTTTGGATCCAACTGAAAATCACCTCTACATAATTCTTCAAGCCCTGAAAACTATTTTGGGTGTATCAAAATGTTTAACAGATTAATTTTTATCTTAAACCTCTATCTTATTAAAATGTCTCCTTTGTAGGAAACTAAACACTTTTGTGAAATCCTACAGAGTTTAACTCTTTCAGCACGGGCTTGGTCCCTGGGACCGACCTCATAACCATTTTGTGCTTGTTATAGTTTTCATGCTATAACTTTTAAATCTGTAAGCGATTGTTAACAAAATTTGGCAGATTATCAGTAAACATTACAATATGCAAAATATTAACTTTTTTTTATTAAATCTTAAAGTTTGTAAAACAATATTTTTCTCATGTCTTTTTTCTCTTTTTTGCATGTTGCCTATCTATCATGCAAAGTAATATTTGTTTTAAGATTAAAAATACTTTTATGCATCAGGAAATTTTGAAATTTCACATGCAAAATCTTTATAATGTCTAGATAGTTATCAAATGTTTCTTAAGAAAGAAACTTTATATTTTATCTGTTATTTTCAGCAATTAATCTCTGTACGGGCTCGGTAGATTTGACCGATCTCACAACCACCATACAAAATTAGGAAATAAATATAAATTATGCCTTTTTTATTCTACAATGAACACAAATTATAACATGAAAACATAAATGTTGAGATTAAAT